TGTCGATGGAACTTCTGTGGAATTCTACAACACTGTTTCCCTCTGATTCATTCCGTCAAAAGGTAAAAATTGCGTGACGCCCACAGTTCAAAGTAAATTTGTCGGTCGCATGCGTGGGGCATTCAATACTCATGCTCAAAGGTTATGGTGAAAACAAGTTAAAGACGTCCACCTATACGGCGCTTTGAGGATTTAACTCTAGGGTAGTCGAACAGTTTTCAACTTCGGATTGTCTTCCCCCATCCAAGGACCTACAAATTACACGACGGAATGAGGGTCAACCCAACTGTCTACATACGTGCCTGAGGCAAGACCGTATATTGGGTGGGTTGGTCCACCCACAGCATGCGCCTAAACAGAGTCAGTGATAGGCCATTAGAAATAACCGTGAAGGATATTCAACCTCAGGCTTTGTTCGGCTCCGATTCACTCCCTACTTCCCCTCTGTCCCAATTCATAATAAGCCCATAGCTTCTACCAACGCAAGTTGTTAACCTTGACACCTGCGTACTCTTCAGCGCATGGTTTGTTTGACGTGGTTCGCCCACGCGCGTACGGCCGCGGACCACATTGCCTCATATATTCCCCACACTTTGTATGCCTCCAGACCAGTTAGAGGTCCTTCTCTAATTCGGTTGCGTCTACTTTGTTTCTGTGCAACACAGTCGGCGATTGGCTGAACATGTGCGGTGCACATGGATTCAACAGGTGACAAGTCAAACTCACAGCCGGAGTGCTTTTGGAGACCGATTCGCACTTACTGAGGAGTCGAGCGCCTGAACTGAACAAAAGTTGAGTTCAGTTGAGTAGTTTGAGCAATAGCGCACGAAAAACACTTTATCATGTCCGATGCACTGCAAAGAATTGACCGGAACAAAAAAATCGATTAGCGATATTCTGATTAATATTTTGTGTAGTGTCAAGAAAATAAGGAGTTTACCGCGAACTCTGAACAGCGATGCAGCGTGGTAGTTGCTTAGGCCTGCAAGTTTCCCTGAAATAAGACATGCCTCGCGATTTGTGTTTGGGGATCACGCTTGCTCCGGCGAATGTTCAGAACTTCCTTTCCCAACATCCACAAACCTCTTAACCGATTAGAATGCACAAAAACAACAGATGCAAGTAATCAGAAGGAGAATGAGTGGGTGAGAATGGTAATCATGACGAAATACCTGATCTGGACGGTCTATGGGGCCTGGTTTGCAATCGACACGGTAGAGGGAAAGCAGAAGGTTTGTACGACAGCCGAAGCTACAGTGGAGGATCTCATATGGTTCGGGATTCGATTTCTGCTTCAGAAAAAGACAGACCATCACGTAGTTATGCCAGGAAAAATGACGATCGATTTCTACGCCTATACTCGTCAACAAATTATTATTCCCGTCCCGCATATCTGGTTATCAGCTCTTCCTGGACAGGAAGTTGAGAATGAACGTATTCAGGAGCATGCATATCGTTGAAAAAGACTTCTCGATATCGTGGATGGATGCAAGAAAGAAAGGTAATGTATGGTGGAGGATGGATAAATGGCATCTTCTGTTAACGACCACATATATATATGTCGGCATTCACTTCCAGCTTGAACTGGTTTTTATAGCACTTCGCACCCTCACTGATTACGGAACCCGTGAGTAGTGGTGCTGAAAATTTAATGTCTCAAGAAATACATGTGGCCTTAATGGCGTTTTTTGGAAACTTCCCCAAGGAATAACAAACAAAGGAAGGTGACGAAAATTTGATTCAGATCAAAATGAAGTAAACAAAATTTCG